ATTGCGTGCGTGCTTTCATGGAGCCGATTGCATGGGCTTTTGGTGTGACACTCTCACCACACCGCCGTCCTCCCGTCCTCACAATTGAGCACATTAGATTTCCTGTTCGCATGAGCTCTGTCGCTTGGCAAGCACCTCAGGATAGGGCTAAGGCCAGGCATGGCTATATGGAAGGTCCGGTATTGGGGATACAATGCAGGGCAGACGTTGGCTTTGGACTGACAGGAAACCTGAAGAAGCAATCTAATCTTGATGCTGTGCGCGAGTTAGGTGGGTTGCTTTTGCTGGCACAAGAGAGAGCTAGAGAGGGGAAAGCTGAACGAAGAGGTGGCGAGGATAGATGGTGGACAACAAAGGAGCGGTGGGGTGGAGGACCCGGGGGCGAGGTTGGCGAAACAACTGGGGCGATCGAAATACTGTCCAAAGATGCAGCGTCCAAACCTGAAGCAAAACCCACCGACAGGAATCGTGACGGATCCAAGGCTCGCCGCAGGCCGTCACCAGCAGAGATTTGGAAAACGTTGCGACCTGGAAACCCACTGTGGGATCCAAAAGTGACCTACAAGGCCATCGGCAAAGACAAGAGTGTTGAGTGGGACGATGTAGGGCTTTGTACTACAGCTCTAGGAAGCTCATTCCGCTGATCCGACAATCTAGGTCTTCATGGTATCGTCATTGAACCACCACATCAGCCTGTTAAAGCTACGCATACATCCGGCTTATCTTGAGTACATCACCGAAGGTAGACTGCCCAAAGAAGCGCCAACAGACTCCGACTGGTTTTCCCCAAAACTGCAAAGAACAAGATGGTTCGATCTGTTCAACGTTGATGACCGTACTGAGGCGATGAGAGGCATCTGGGGGGTAATGGCCTATCTCATGCGCTCAGATAAGACTGATCACGCTGATTCCGCTGGTATTGCTACCAAACAGTGATAGTTCGCTGTCACCGGTGTGGCTCTTACTGAAGGGACTGAATGACCAATATGGGACGATGTGGACTTGTGAACCTCAAGCCCCGAGGTCTATACTAGAATCCCATCACTTCCAAAGACCGGAGATGCTCGGGGCGTCTGGGATAGCGTACAATTCTTCTACCTATTCACGACCTAAATTGTCCCCAAAACTATCCTGTTCGGTTTCCCACTCTTCAAGTCATTTACATGAAACGCTGAGCTAGATCCACGAAGGCCGACTTGTTTGGTGTCACAATCAATCTAGAGCTACACCTTTGCTGCGCTTGCTCCGCGACCGATTCTGACCTAGACGAAGTATCGTTGCGATTGTGATACTAGCAAAACATTTCTCTTCGTGGTAAGTCATTTCTCCAACGCACTCAAAGCTGCACAGCAAGATACACAAGATATTGCGCAACGATGCGGGCATCTTCTTCTCAAACTCGCGTCGGGCTAACCAATCCCTGCACACCAAAGCATAGCCGCCCAAGACGGCAAAGCTAATGCAACGAGGCCACAACGTGACTGGCGCGTTGTGTTTCTTCCACAATTACACGCACATCTGTATTGCCGTTGGTCAAAACTTAGCGTTTGAACGACCAATGGCGCAATCTTCTAGTGCGACCGTGTCACTAAGAATATCGACGTTCCTCCACCAACAATCTTGACTAAGCTCCGCCTCGTTCGGTAGAACTGTGGCGTTTTTAGCCAGTCTGTACCCAAGGGGCGCCTGACGCAGCCATGTAAGGCGCCTGTCAGATTTCGACGTATTTTTCCGCTTGATGGTAGCTCGAATGCTGTTGGGCCGCACAAGGCCTACGACCATCGACTGATATGCAGCACCACCCTGGACCCACTCATCCCCAACAGCACGCCTAGGACCTCCAAGGAACGCTCACAAACTTCAATCTGTTACACTGAATCGGCTTCTCCTCCCAAGTAGAGGTCGTATCAACAGATAGCATGTGATGGAGGAAGGTCCATCACACACCTACGACCACTTCTCGTTACAAGCGAGTTTGCACAAAAGCTGCAACTTGCCAGTAACAGTCGGAGAACTCAGCATAGCAATCTATCACGTCCCCTTCTAGTTAAGCTACGCCACGCGCTATGTTGACCCCGGTCCCTGGTCCAATGCGGCCGCACACATGGTGCGAATCTCGAGCATCGATCCGTAAACCGGGTTTGCAGGCAAGTGAGATGTACCTATGTACCTAGGTACCTTACAGAAGCAGCAACACCCGGGATCGGACCGCTTCTCACATAATCTTCACGATGCATTATATGCAGCAATCACCAGCGCAGCCCGTCGGAAGCAACAGTGCCATCAACAAACATATTCAGCTCAAACGAGGAAATTTTGACAGCTGGTCACGACACAAGCTGGGACGGAATGGCGCTCCATAGTCAGGAACGCTCCAATGACCGATCAACCTTCCTAGCGACGCCTCCACCGGGCAAGAGTAACAGTGGCTTGAAAGCCTACGACGATGAGCAAGACAGAGCGGTCAGCAGTCCAGTCTACCGAACACGCCCTGGCCCTTCGTCTTCTCCACTGCAGCGAGTCCCAGCCTTCCATGCGGCCGCCTGATCTATATAAGTCTGCATGCATAACTTGAATAGACGGCATCGAAGTCGACAAACTCCACCACTTGCTTACTACAATTTACCCATCAACGCAACTCAGCCCCAAAGTCAGCACGCCTTATTCCGTCTCTCTACCCTTGCCGATACGATCCATTGCCTTGCAGCTTCCCAAATCTATCAGCCCCACTTGCCAACATCACGTCCTGTTGTTCGATTGTCGGTATATAAAAGCATATACCCATCGTCTCAACATCTCGCCATCTCAAGCACTCACTCTTTCCACACTCTACACTTCAATACCTTCCCTCCCAACCTCACAAGCCCCCACCACCACCATCATGTTCACCAAGACCATCCTCCTCTTCACCTCCCTCCTCCCCACCCTCATCACCGCAGCGGACACCAAATCCTCCACGGTCAACCCCGAACTAAACGCCGCCCTCCGCATGGCCGCCACAAACTTCGACCGCAACGCCCTTCTGCCTGCCGATGAAGACTGGTACTTCGACTTCGACTCCAGCAAAGACTACGACTCGCCCACCGGCGCTGTCATCAACGCCAATGCTGCTAGCTTCCCTGCTCTCACTGGCCTCGGCTCCAGCATGGCTCTCCTCAAGCTGGCTCCTTGTGGCATGCTGCCACCGCATCTGCACCCTAGAGCTACCAACTTGGTCACTGCTATCACGGGTAACACGACGACTTACATGATTGGCGAGAATGGTGTCAAGACACGCAAGGTGGATATGATCCCCATGCGTGTTACTATCTTCCCGCAGGGAAGTCTGCATATGATGCAGAACAATGGTATGTCTTCCACACTCCCTTCTACATTCCCGTCTGTCTATTGCCTGTTCGGGGATGCGGCTCTCAGCCCCAAGATCCAAGAAACGACCCTTGCATCTTACCCGGTCTTGATTACATGCACATCTTACTAACCACACCAACCCACAGACTGCGAACCCGCCCTCCTCCTCAGCGCCCTCAACAGCGACGACAGCGGCACCCTCAACATCCTGCCCAGCCTCTGGTCCGTCCCTCAAGACGTCATCAGCGCTGGCTTCGGCGACGCGTCTTTCAACCCCGCCAGCATTGGTGAAATGATCCCTGAAGTGGGCACTGGAGCTATTATCGGATCCGCGGAGTGCAAGAAGAAGTGCAATATCCAGATGTAAGGCTTCCAGTCGAAGTTGATGTTGGTGGAGACTAGGGCTGTGCCGTGCCGGCTACTATTGCTGCTGCTGCGGCAGTAGCGCGTGTGGCGCAGACGGTTGCAACGGCTTTGTTTCTTTTTCTTTCTTCCACGCTTTTGGCTTCTTCTTTTGCTTTAGTGGGGATAATCTTCGCATTCGCTTTGCCCTTGCGTTTGCATGTTGTGGTTTGTGGTTTTACTGGTTTTACTGGTTTCGATGTTAAACATGATGTCATGATGCATGCATACCTAGATATGACGGAAAAGAACAACAATAAAAAGCTTCGTGTTTTCCTGGCATCCCAAACAACTTCATCTTGCTTCCTTCCGTCCTGCTCAGATCTTGCATCGATCGTGCATGTAGATTACGAGACCATGTTGCGGGCCGTCAGCCCGCCCTGGTAGTGGGGACCTCGCCGACATAGCCAAGTTGATGTGTAAGGCGCCCGGTGCAAGCAAGGGTATTCCATCAGGGCCATGAGTGCGTTGGCTTTCCATGGCATTGGAGACACGACTTAACCGATGAAAGCCTAAAGACTGATGTCTTGTATAATAGCCGCCGTGGCTTGCCTGTACCGATGGGCCGGTCCACACGTGGAGAAACGGGTCAGCGTCTGGACCACGACGTGAGAGCTAGATGCTTTCTCGCCCCCACAGTAAGCGTAGATTTGATGACGCATCGCCGGTAGCCGCATGCAGGTCAGATATAAGTCAGACATACTGCTCCTTCGTGGTAGTGTTTCTACCTAGTCGGGCTGTCACCCGCGGGCGGGCCGCTGCTGGGTGGCATGATAGATTTTACGACCTCGGCGAACTACGACTAGACTGGTAGAGAAGGTGGGAATGGTTTAGGGAGAATGTGGTACTTGGAGCGATGGACACTAGCGGATTAAAGCAGGTCTATTACTAAACTGCTCCTTCCTCGGTCGGAATCTCTAAGACATCATTCTTCTTTATTAGATCGATGTATGTCTGCAGGCTATAATATTCGAGACTAACACCTTACTTTAGATATTATAGAAGAGAACCACGACAAAAGGCTTTGTGCTTTCTATCTTCTAGTTAACTCTGTTATACGTTCTTTCTTGTTAGATCTTATAATAGACCTGTGTTGAGTACTAGTAGGCGATACACAATCTACATAAGTCGTTCCTACTAGGCTAATATATGTATTAGTACTCTGTATTCTGTTCAAGTTTCTGCAACCCTCTTGTGTTGAAGTCCCGATCTTGCGCAAACACCAGTTCAACTTCATTATCTACATTGACTCAAATTCCAACGCTTTCACTTAGAGTCTTGGCGGAGTCGATTCCGACGCCAACGTAACCCAAATGATCTGGTCTTTTGGACTGGAGCGCAAGTGCAAGTAGTTCAGCTCCGGAGTTCCAAGCCGTTGAGGCCGAGCCAGTGGCGAATGTATATAGCATGTAGCCAATAGTGACAACACAGTACAGAAGCAGCACCGTCATGGATAGATATACAGACGTCGATCGCATCCCATAGCCGTAGCCATACTGTGTGGCAAAGAACTCGTAAGGGGTGTAGTCTTCGATGTTTTCCTCCGGTGGGTACTCAGAGAAAAAGGAAGCTTCCAGCCATTTCGACTTCTTCATGGATACCGACGTTGGTACCTTGGCGATCCAGATCACCAGAGCTGCAGCTAGTGCACCTTCTAGACCCAAGCTGCCGAGTTGTGTCGTCCCGAGTATTCCCACAAGGGCCGAATAGAACTTCGCGCTTTGCATTGGGTGATCACCAGCAATATCCAGCGTGATCTTCCGGTGTGCGGATTGCTCCATTGTTGATGATTGGCCAGTATCGACCAGTGTGAATGCTTCGTTGTAGCGCATTTGCGCCTTGCCAGAGCTCCAATATGCAGAAAGTGAACATGCTGTTACAGAGGCGGTCACAGCAGGATCTTTACTTTCGACCATTGACGACAGCAGACCAGGCTGGACCAGTGTGGACTGATTCCACATTTCACTCGTCCTGCCCTGGAAGAACACTACGAGCAACGGGTGATCTGCTGGCTCTGGTGATGAGATCCAGACCGGACTGAAGTAGACAGCAGTGGAGTGATTCTCACCCCCTCCATATGTGGAGGCGGAAAGTTCGACAGTATCCGATACTTTGGAGATCAAGGTGGGAAGATCCGGCATTAGTGATGTCCAAGGCCAGGGGTAATACCAATCGCTGCTGTTATTGATGTCGAAAAAGGATCCCCAGCACTGCGCCCCTACAACTGGGTGTGCAGCCTCCACGATTAGCGTCGTGTTTCCTATGCCCTTTAGGTCCGATTGATCAGCTATAACCTCCGTCGGGATCGTGACATTTGCCTCTCGAAGCACTGTACCCCCGGTTTTGTCGGGGTTGCGCACATCGTTGGACCACCGTAGGAGTCGTTTTAAGTTCGATAATCTCCGGGAAAAATGAAGAATGGTATTTGACCCATAAGAACTGCCACGTTCGTATCTGTCGGAGTACCATAGGGTTGAATTCAGCCCTTGAATATCACTGCTTGTAGTTCAGTACTCGATGTTATTTTGGGCCAAGGTACGTACGAGTCAAATTTTGAGATGGGAATTTTAGAAGGATACGAAGCTTCGTCAGATGCTACTCCCCAGAGTTGGCTGTGTGAAGGAGTGCGTGGAACGCCCGCACGTGGGATCATGAGAACAGCGCTTGAAGGTCCAACCAGCGCTGTCAAAGCGAACAAGAGGGGCATGGCGACCACGAAGATTGTCTTTCGCCATCCTTGGAGTGCACGAGATCGAAAGAGGGAGAAGAAATCCAGTGACCATAGATAAGACAATTGAGTCGGCTGCATAGCGCCTGATAAAGTGCCGAATGGAACAAGGCCGTTAATAAGACCTGCACGAATAATGCTAAGTAGAACCTCGACGATTGAAGCCTGCATAAGTAACTCGTGGAGCTTTGCTGCAAATTGCAATTCAGTTGAGTAATCGTTCTGTTCATTGACCCAATAATTCGTCCATTGGAATACCAGCAGTAGGATGGCGCCAGAAAGAGGAACAACGTGCAGTAACGCATGCACTGCGGCGACTGCCCTGTTGTAGTGAATGGCTACTTTGCGACGTTCGGTATTCCGGTTCCAACGAGAGCCCATACATCGAGAGAACGTCGAGGAAGCGGATTGAAACCGAAACTGTCGCATGAGATGGCGACGCTTTACCTGCGATGGGGCGGAGTTGTCTTCCAATTCGACTACATTCGCATTGTGACTGTTATCGCCAGAGGTGTCATCGCGCGAATCGACACTTGCATAGCCGCTTTTCAGTAAGCCCGTTGTATGGCTGGAGCTTCAGTATGAGCAACCTAGATCTAGATTCTGACCTGGGCGAGACGCACCTCATTTCTGCCAGTTCCTGTCCGGAGACAGCTTCGCTTCTCATCCTGCACGCCAAGCCCGCATAGCCCACAGTGGACGCGTCGTGGAGTATGCTGCTCGTTCAATACTCAGATAGTAAACCTATAACGATCGCAAAGACTTATTCAGGGTGCAAAAGACTGTATTGGAGATGTGTATGAAAGCCACCGTGGTGGAAGGAAGCAAGGTGAAGGCTGCCCAGGTGAGATCCGTTCGCTGAGCCCGACTGCCTTGTAGCTTGGCTGTGGTAAGGCCCACCATAGGATTTCGCGAATCTGACATGTCTGTGCGTGGGTAACATCACCCAAGCGCTGCTGCGGACCAGCATCTAATTAATCTAATTAAGAATGGCATTGTGACTTTCAGATAGAAGTTGATGAATAAGAAGGGGAGCGGGAAGAGTAGTGCAGTCCACGGGTCTATTCGGGAACTACCCGGGTATATGTGATACTCATCACCCGAGCAATTGGGGCAGTGTCCGCGGCTTAGCATTGTTTCGGTCGCGTTATACATCTGTTAGCATTAAGATGACCGTCTATCGCCAGAGAGATGCCGAAATCAGAGATAAGGTTGCCGATGTAGAGATACGTCGGCTTCGAAGCTTGCCGAGATCCCTTCGGAAAGGTTCCGCTGCTGGCATTCAGGAGCCCCGCCTTTCGTGTTGCTGTATAAGATTAGTGAACCTCTGTATCCTCGTGCCCACTTATCTGATGGCTGCAGTCATTTCGTTGCTAATACCATAGTGATATGTACGGTCCTTTGTGTTTCTGCAATAAATACCTTCTTTGAAATACAACGTGATCAGATACCCGTGGACCCTTCACTTTCCTACGCTCAACACACTATCCACGTCATGTCACATCAACCATCATCCACTGTTCGCGTTGCTGTCACTCAATTCGAGCCAGCATGGCTTGACTTGCCAAAGGCTGTCGAGAAGACCTGCCGTTTGATCCGCGAGGCAGCAGAGAACGGCGCAAAGCTTGTGTCGTTCCCCGAATGTTGGATTCCAGGCTACCCTGCCTGGATATGGTACGTTCGCGAATACAGTTGTCCTTCGTCGATTTCCAAGGCATGCTGATATGCAGTGCTAGGTCAAGGCCCATAGACTTCGAGCTCTCGACAGCTTATATGAAGAACTCTCTGCATGCAGACTCAAATGAGATGCGTCGCATCTGTCAGAGTGCTGCAGATCACCATATCGCCGTTGTGCTTGGGTTCAGCGAGAACTTCAAAGGCTCGCTTTACATCTCACAAGCTATCATCAATGCCGAGGGAAGTATCGAAGTCCTGCGTCGGAAGCTGAAAGCGACGCACATGGAGAGGACGATATTTGGAGATGCATCGGGCTCTACTCTCCAAAACGTCGTGGAGCTGCCGGACGTTGGACGCGTTGGTACCCTGGCTTGCTGGGAGCATACGCAACCACTACTCAAATACCACACTTACCATCAGAGAGAAACCATACATGTTGCTGCGTGGCCGCCGCTGTACGAACACGATGGTGGTCCAGGCTTGTATTCCATGAGCAAAGAAGGTGCGATATCACATTGTATACGACCAGAATAACCCTTAGCTAACGTAGTTGGTAACAGGTTGCCGCAGCCTCTCTCAAGTCTACGCCATGGAGTCGCAATCCTTTGTTCTACATACTACAGCGGTAATGAGTGATGCAGGTATCGCTACACTCCGAACAGCCTCTGGCGTCACCATGAATACCCCTGGTGGGGGTAGCTCAGCTATCTTTGGCCCGGATGGGCGCCTGGTGGCTGATGGTCTACCAGAGACAGAAGAGGGGTTCATTTACGCAGAATTGCAGCTTGATGATATCTTGAAGGCAAAAGGTTTCTTGGATGTTTGTGGCCATTACAGCCGACCTGATCTACTGTGGCTGGGTGTTGATAAGAAAGAGAAAACACATGTAGTTTAATGGACATAACGTACCTTAGGGCGGGTAACTGGCACCGGCGCGTGGCTGATCATCTAATCACCGACTCTTCAGACACCCTTAATTCCATCTCTCCCGTACAACCGCTCGTGGCAAAGATGGGTAGTCGCCTTCATCATTCCCGCTTGTCAGCCTCGCCCATTCTTCTTTTTGCCACCTCTTTCCCAAAATTTGAGCCACTTCATCATCTTTTTCTTTCCGTTGTTTGGGTGTGGTCTCTCATGATATCTTCCTCCGGGACGTCTATGGCATATATCGTCGAGCCCATATGCGTTGGATGGTGGTTGTCTCCGCGGCGGGGCGGTATTGTAAGGCTGTGGATCGGCCATAGCAAGGTGAGATGGTAGCGAATCACAGGTCTAGTGTCGATTGCAAACCTGCGCAAAGAAACAGGTCTTGGAGCATGGAGCTCTTATGAGGCCGTTACGAGGATTGGCTTCTATTGTTGAAGTAATTTTTTCAGTGTTCTCTGGGGACATATGACGAAAATCGAGGCAGGCTGAAAGCACGTGAAGACGAACTCTCAGCCTGCGATAACGACTGCGCCACCGTCACTAGAGTGTGCTTCGAAAGGGCTGTCGTGCGACCACACTTACTGCTCAATAAATTCGTGGAGGCTGACGTGGCTGCTCTTCTCGACGCTCACTGGACCTGCACCACAATATCTTCTCAAAGCTGAAAACCAAAGTTGACCGGATATGGATCAGGTGGACGACGCGCCCGTATACGCCTTCGGGGCTGAAGTCATAAGTCTACCAACTGCCTTTGGCTAACCTGGACGTGTCAACAAGCCTCTTCGGTCCTTTTACCTTACTCCTCGCTGTTCTCATGATGAGTCTCTCAGGTCGACACGACACTCCCGGACAGCCCAACGATCCGATAGAGTCAGCAACAATACCGACCCCACCTGATATCGGCGACACGCGCCAAGCGAGTGTTTCGACTGAAAACGACGACGATCGCGAGTATGACGAAGTACAACTGTTGCAAGAGGGTCCATTCCTGATCGCGGATTACCTCGCCCATAACTCCAGCAAGTCTGCCGCCGTGTTCCGAAGATATGACAAGCTTGCCATTCACAGGCTCATTTCGCTAAGTAGAGAATTAAGAGGCTTTGAAACGCAACACGATCAGTCAGTGGATGATGGAATAGATCCAGAAGTTATGGATGGTGGTTACTACAGCAATGTGTTCGGACCTAAAGTCCTGGAGTATTGTACAATATTGCTCCTTATACACAAGATCAATGTAACATACTGACATGCGCTTTTAGATTCTCTTTTAGGCGCTTACAGTAACGTTCTGCATCTCGAGCCCCCCGCGAGCCGGACGGTCGAGGCACTCGATCGGTTCATCTCCAGCCCAGAACTTCACAGCAAAAAGCCCTGGCTTGGTCACCAGCTGAAGTACCGGACGGAGACAACAGACGATAGAATACCATTCTCTGATCTTGTTAGTCTCTACACTCCAGCTGAGAATGATTACCTATCGAGGTTTGTCGACAAATTCTTCTACGGTTTCTTCTTGGTATGTGGTTATCGTTTATAAACTCGTGTTCCTCCTACACAGCCTTAACAAACGCAGACCCCAGAATCAAGCCGCGACGCGAAGTACGTAAACGAACAGAAGATGCAGCGTTTCGTCACCTTCGTCGGCACCGTCATCTCGATCGGCTTTCTAGTAGCCGCAATGTGGGTCCTTTGGCGACTCGAAGACCACATGATACCCAAACTGGGTGCTGTGACTGGCTTCGTGGTGGCTTTCGCGGGCTGGTTAGGTTTCCTGACAACGGCGCAAAGGAAGGACGTCATAGCTGCTACGGC